TTAGGTTGAAGGCCATCGGTCTTAGGTTGGAGGCCATTGCTAGTAGGCCATTGCTTGGGCACTTGGTGCAGGATGGTCTAGGCGGCTTTTTCCCAGCGACGAACTTCATCGATTTGGGCCTTTTTGAGCACGTTGGCCATCCGGGTGCCACACAAAGGGCTCCAGTGAGGCGCGCTCCGAAGAGGGGCCCTTTTTTTAAGACAGTAGCTTCTAGCTACTGATAGCTTCTTGTTCCTAGTAGTATGGCCAGGAGCCCCTAGCAGCGTCCTTGCTCCTAGTAGCGATGCCAGGAGCCCCTAGTAGCTTTTTGTTACTAGTAGATGATAGTTGTTCTGACTTTTGTTAGGCCTCTTCAAGGAAACTCCCCGCTTTTGAAGAACCCTGACATGATTGACTTGGTTCCTAGGTTCCTTTTGAAAACTTTGATTTTCTGGCGCTGTTTCTGGCATTTCGAGGGTAGATCAGCTGCCTTCTTGCTCTGGGTGCCTATGCAGCGTGGCTGCTATCAATTCTGCTGGCCTTTCCGGCCAATCCTTGGAGGCGGGAATGTGACGCGAGATGGAGAAAGAAGACAAAAGAAGAGCACTTGTTACTAGAAGCGATGCACTTGTTACTAATAGCTTCTTGTTACTAGTAAGGCACTTGTTACTAGAAGCGATGCACTTGTTCCTAGTAGCTTCTTGTTTCTAAACCGCGATGGTCCACAGCTTCAATTTCACCAAAGTGCTGACATTCACCGTGCCCTATCCTTGGAAGACATCTCAGTTGTTTGAGACTCAACAGGGGCTTGACATGCATACACGCACTCCAAGACTTTGGAACTTTAGTCTTTAGTCTCAACATTTTTCCAGAAAGCGAGTTTGAGCTGAAATGCCTCCACAGCAATTGCAGAGACAACTCAACCGCAACGTGTGCAACACCTGCACTTGGCACAAGAGGTCGCCGGATACAGTGCTTTCTCACCAGGGGGGCTGAAACAAACAAGAGAGAAGAAAAAGAACCCAGTAGGAAGGTCACAAGATTCAAGAACCACATAAACCCACAGGTGAAAAGTTCTGATTGGAAGGGAAAGGGCAGGAGGGGGAAAGTGTGAGGAGGTCAGGATGAAAGAAAGACCTCTTGATGGTGTGTGTGATGTTGGTGCTGTTGTGATGTATGATGAAGTGTGGTGAGATCAAGCGTGTCGATCCCACATGGTTTTCACCCTAACGGATGCCACTTCTTCACTTCACTGCGCCTTCGGAGCTCCATCACTGCACCTGAGTGAAAACCTAGGTGCACGAGGCACAAGGCACTTACGCTGGAACAAGACAGGGTGTGTCGCACCGTGCCTGGGGATCCAGCGCACCCGACATAGTGTTAATCGGATGCCGCACAAGAGCACTGCGCCTAGAGTGAGATCGGAAAAGAATTCATAGAAACAATAAGCTACGAGGAACAAATTAAATAGAATTAAATTAGAATTAGTTTTATTTAATGTTAGTTTAATTCTAATAGCTTCTTGTTACTAGTAGTAAGGCACTTGCTACTACTAAATCGAAAACCAAGAGCACCAAGATCTGGAGACGAACCTTGATCGCTCAACACAGCCGGATTGGTGACAGAATCACAATGCTTCATGGCACGCTTCTCAGACAGGGCTTCGTCTTTCAAGGCGGTGTGGGCCAATAGCAGCCCATCGAAGACGGCTGGACCAAGGGGAGCAAGAAGCTACTAGGGACAAGTGTGATTCTTTCCCGCAGCGCGAGCTCTTTGCGCATATGTCTGGCCGGCGGCCGAAGCAACCTGAGCATACGCACCCTCCTTGGCCAGGATGTAGGTGACAAAAACAGCACTTTCGAGGTTGTGGCAGGCCTGCGCATTCTTCAACGTCAGGCGAGCCATGGCAGTCAAGAGCTGTTGCAAATACATTGCAACCAGCAACATAGACTGTTGAGCAGTCAGTCGCAACTAACTCACCCCTTGACACTCCGAGACTGTTGTGGGTCAGCCTTTTCCTTGATGTGCGACGTTTGCCTTTGTGTGCGAAGAAAGGCTTGCTTTTTTTGTTTCACACCAGCCACATTCGCGCATTGATAGCAAAGAGCGACTTATCCCACATACACTTGGCCGACATTTTGTTTGATGGTGTTGCCATCGGTATGGCCTCGCGAAGGGGGCTCACCAGCTGAAGCGCAAGAGAAATGAAAAGGTAAAGTAGCTGGCCTCCAACCCTCCAACCTAACAGCAATGGCCTCCAACCTACTAGCGATGGCATCTAACCTAAAAGAGATGGCCCCCAACCTAATAGCCATGGCCTCCAACCAAATAGCAATGGCCTCTAACCTAGACGAGATGGCCCCCAACCAAATAGCAATGGCCTCTAACCTAGAAGAGATTGCCCCCAACCTAATAGCCATGGCTTCTAAACTAATAGCAATGGCCTCCAACCTAGAAGAGATGGCTCCAACCAAGTAGCAATGGCCTCTAACCTAGAAGAGATGGCCCCCAACCTAATAGCCATGGCCTCTAACCAAATAGCAATGGCCTCCAACCCAGAAGAGATGGCCCCCAACCTAATAGCCATGGCCTCCAACCCAGAAGAGATGGCCCCCAACCTAATAGCCATGGCCTCCAACCAAATAGCAATGGCCTCCAACCTTGTGTTTGACGACTGGCTGTCCTTTGGCCCATTGGATAGTGAGGGCAGGTGAAGCCGACGTCCGACGTGCACACAAGACTTTGTTGCGTGCGGGTGCGCATGCGGTTGACAAATAATGTGGTTGACACATGAGACTTTGCAAGCGCTGGGAACACCCTTCTTCCAAGCGTGGTCCTGTGCACAGTGTGTGGTTCGATGACATGTGGCAAGGGAAAATTTGGTATCTTCAGAATGAGCGGTGTGATACAGTTTGGTATGTTTGGAGTTTGATTTGATGAAGTGTGGGGAAATGAGGGGAAGGGAGGAGAGGGGAAAGGGAGAAGGAGGAGCAGGACAAGGTGGGAGACAGACAGCAAAGGCAACAGCCCCGGGCATTGGGGAAAGCAACAAGACAAGAAGAAATACCTAAAAAAGTTCAAAGAACCAAGTTGCAAGGTCAACCACTGTGTTGAATTTGTGGAGGCGCCTGTGGTGTGGGCTCACGACCCAGAACGCGAGAAGGAAATCTTCGAAGGCCCCCCGGCAAAAAAGTTTGTATTGGACGTAATTTTTTAGATTCATTTCTCGGCTGGGCCACTCACTGCGTTTGAAGAAGTTCATGTGGACACGAATCCTTGAAGGTTCTTCATCAATGTCAGAAGATCTCAAGGCACCAGCCCGGACAGACAACAACGATTCCAAGCACGTCTCAGTCATTTGCCTGTTTTTGCCCCTGAGGTTGATGGAGGACTCCGAAGTTGCCTGCTCCCCCCTGCCTACTTAAGGGACTCGAGTAAGCAGCTACTAAGCTACTAGTTACTAGACTAGACCAAGTTCGCTACTACATATGGACGCAGGATAGCTCATGCTTCTGGGCGGGGGGGAGCTTCCTTGAAGAAGCACTCGCACTATTCATTTGGTTCCTAGTAGCTTCTTGCTCCTACTAGTACAGCCAGGAGCCCCTAGTAGCTTCTAACCTAATAGCGAGGGCCTCCAACCTAATAGGAATGGTCTCCAACCTAGAAGCGATTTGGCTCCTAGATTATTAGGGAGACTTTGTTAAAACTTTTAGACCAGGTCGCTCGTTGGGGTCCTGATTTGTTTTGCATTTGTTTTGCATTTTTGAGCTGGACAATTCGCGAATGGTTTCTTCTCATCTGGCTTCCCTTTGCAGACCCCAAAGCCCAATGGTTCTACTAATGAACTTGGCGTCGGCCGAACTGCTACGGGGGCACAATGACATTCAACATCACCACTGAAGCCCAAATCCCACCGCAACATTCTCAAGCTCCCATTTCCACACTGTTTCGCAAGAACACTTCGTCCGTCCACCCAAAACCGCCAGCCGCTCTGGGCATTCCAGTCTTCGTTTTCTGAGACAGCAGGTTGCTTTGCTTTACACATGCGTGTCCTCTATCTTTCAGACCTACAATCATGTGCGCACTATTTTGCCCAGCTAGGATACGCTCTCCCGGGCATGTGAAACCCTATGCGCCCGAACCTTCGGGTGCTTGATCAAAGGCTGGCTAGCAGCTCATGGCTTTCACATCGATACCGTCCCACCGAAACATGTCGCCCATGAAGTTTCACCAGTACAGTGCAAGGGGTCAATGAAATCCTAGCATATCAAACGACGTGTTTCTTTGTTGTGTTTTTGCTGAAAGCATCAAATCCTAAGACCATAAACAGCCTTCATCAACAAGCCTGTCATTGTTGCAGGACGCGTTGTCATCACCCCAAGCCTCACAGTCACAGCCTTACTAACAACTGACAACGACTGCTGCTTCCGACGGTTGTTGCAGTCGATTGCGAGGCTCAAAGCCCTGCACCTTCTCATCCTGAGCCTATTACGGCATTTGATCCTGTGGCGGAAGGCCATTTCAACCATGCTTATCCCGACAAATTTGTCTTTTGGCGTGCATGGCCAGGAAAAGGAGTTGTGCGTAACATACGCATGGATGATAGGCCGGCCCATTACATTTACATGTCATGACAAGTTGAATTGAACCTCACATGATCTGCATGCGCAGGTCGAACCCTACATGGAATGTTTCCACCCGAGGAGCCCTTGTGGCCAGGCCAAATAATTAAGGAAAAAATTGAATTATAACGAATTTGAATTTAGTAATAAATTTAATCACTTAACAAAGGATAACGAAAATTGAATGAATATTTTGTATTGGGTGGGCCACTCGAATATCTAATATTTTTTGTGGCTGATGGTTACGGTATATTATATTATCGGATTCGTTTTTTTCGAAGGTTTTGTTTCGAAATTGTTTAATATATTTTAAAATATGTTTATTGGGGGGGAGTGTTGCGTTCATCGCTTTCTGATAATTCTTTGATTGTAGAAGTCTAATTTTTAGCGGAGATATTATTGTTATTATTAAAAATGTTAAATTTGTTTTTTTAAAAATAATTTATAATTAATTTAAATTTTATATTGATTAAATTATATATAATATATAATATATATTTATGTTTTAAAAAAAATATTTAAAAATATAATGGAAATTATTATTTACGAAAGTTTGCGAAACTAGCTGTTTTTTTTTTTTTTTTTTCGATCGGGTATAAATTTTAATTCTTGATTTTTTAGGTCGAAGTTCTTTTTTTTTTTTCTTTTTATAAGTTCGATTCCGTGTTGTCGTCGCTTCGGACCGCATCTTTATTTTTATTTTTATTCTCATTTATTTTTTTTTTTTTTGTTTTTTCTTTTTTATCTCCCTTTTATTTTTCTTTTTTTTCTTTCTTTTTCTCTC